CTCGGCGGCTCCGGCTCAGCGGGGCGGCGCGGGAGCCATGGAGGGGATCGGGGCGGGCGGCAGCGCCGGGTCACTCCCTCGCCGGGCGGGAGCGGGGCGCGCGCTCCCGGGCGGGCGGGAGCGCCGGGAGGCAGGATAATAGTGGGAGGGGGAAGGGCGGGGGGAGCCCGGGCGCGGGCGCTGGTTCCGCTGCCGGGCGCGAGGAGGCGGCGGCGGCGGCGAGGCGGCGGTCGCGACAGGCGCTCGCGATAGGCGCTCGCGGTACCGAAGGGCGGGCCGCGGTGACGTCATGGCGCGGGGAGGGGGGTGTGTGTGACGTCATGGCGCGGGGAGGGGGTCGGGGCGCGGGTGCCGGTGGCTCGTGTCGCTCCGGTGTCCCCTGTCGCCTTTATCATCGCCTTTATCATCGCCCTTATCATCGCCCTTATCGCCTTTATCATCGCCTTTTTGGGCCCCATCGGCCCCGCGGCAGGCAGCGGGGGTCCCGCCGCGCACCCGCCTCGGCGCGGACCGGGCTGTGCCGATGAAGAGCCTCAGCGCGGGCCGGGCTTTGTCCGCTGCTTTATCTTCCGCTCCGGAGGGGCCTCGGTGTTCCGTGCGGAGCGCCGGCGCTGCTGGGAACGCCGCCGCGTGTCCCCGGGAGCGCGGCTCCAGCTGTGCTCGCCGCTGGCCGAGCTGCGAGCTCGGGACACCGAGGGACAGCCCCGAAACGCCCCAGTGCCGGTCCCACCGTCGCACCCGGGTTTAACGCGCTGCACGGCTGCGCTTGCCCAAGTTTTCTGAGAATTTGGGTGGTTTTGTGGAAGAATGCAAAGCTGGAGTTGGTCAGGAACTCTTGCGGTTTACAAAAAGTGTTTGTTGCTGGGCAGGGTGCATTAGCGCACGTGCGACTTCCCAAAGCTCCTTAACAGAGGTAGATTATGGAATTGTTCCCCATGCAGAGAAAAAAACGGTCAGAGTGGAAATACCTGATGAAATGGTTTAAAGGTTGCCTTTGAAACATAGAGCTGGCAACACTTTTCCTTGCTCGTCTCCAGACAAATTTAAAATTAAAAAAAATCAAGAAAAAACAGTGACAACAATTACATCTAATTAATTATGTCCAATAATTACATCACTGCACAGTGCTGTCTTAAGGGTGAGAGACATTCCTGTGGGTCTGTGCTCCATCCCATACAAACCTTTTAAAAATATTTAAACCACCATCTGCTCTTTGGACTGCAAACAAAAAGCTGATATATTTAAACTGTTCTCTAAATTTCACACAGCTAAACGTGGGCACCCATTTTTTCTCCTTTTGCAGGCCCACAAAGCTGAGTCCCACACAGGTCACTAAGAATTTTTAGAATATGGGTGAGTGTTCATTTTGTGCTCTGAGCTGAAGTTGTCTGCAAAGCCAGTGTGAGAAGTTAGTATAAAAATAAAAAAGTGCACAAGGAGGAAAATTGCTGGTGATGGATCTCCTCCTGAGCTTTGGCTGCTCCAGCAGCATCACCTGAGGTGTTGCCTCCCTCTGCATGCCGAGTGCTCGGTGTCACACCAGGCCACATTGCCCAAGTGTGACAGCTTAAACTGAATAAAAGTTTGCCAGGCATAATAAATGGGGGCCTTTGTGCCAAAATGCTGTAACAGAGCAAACCCTTTAAGAACTTGGGAGGACCTTTGGGCTGGTTTTGGGAATAGGCAGCACATGAACGTGCCTTTCTGCTAAAGGACAAGATCCTGGGGCCCAGGTTGGGGATTTGTTGTGGGAAGGAAGGAAGTTGGAAGACACGGAACAAAAATGGGCTTTTGCTGAAGGGAGGTGATCCATTCCCTGGCATCCAGGGAATGCCAGTAGGCATCTGGCTTAGTTGAGGAACAAGGGTAGTGGCTGCTTTTTTTATCTGATGGACTGAACTTAGTAATTTTTTTTGTTGTTTGTTTATTTTTTTTTTTTTTTAATTTTTTCCCATCCTTGAGCAAAGAATGCCTCATTAGAGCAGCCCTATCATTCACTAGGCTCACAAGAAGCAAGGTGGATCCCAAGCCTGTCAGTGCTCAGTGCAGGGGGAGGGTGAACGTGGGTGCTGCCTCCCATTTGAATTGCATGAAAAAAATCTGTCTGAAGCAGGATTTGTGCGTAGATCAGGATCATAAAAAGTTGCACAGTGAGCCAGCAAACGCAGCAAGGATACCACTGCATCAGCAGTTACTGGAACAATTGAGAACTGTGCTGTAACTCTGTTTCACATTGAATGGGCTCAGGAAAATAGGAGCATTAGTCTGCCGGCAGCCAGGACCCAGCAGCATGATAGTCCAAGCAAAGCATTTACAGGTGTGTTTGTGAGCAGAAATTCCAGCCACAAGTTCAAAAGTAGTCATTGCCTTTCATAAGCAAGCATTCTTGATTTTCACCCACGTATCCAGTGCGGATCCTTATAGATTCTGGGATTAAATGAGTAATTCTGAAATATGTGCATCTAGCATCTCATCAAAAAGTGTGTAACTGTAGTGTTTGACATAGGAGCAGAAGAAACTTTGCACTTGAGACCTGAAATGATTTACTGGCAAGGCAGTGGTCTGAAAACAAATCAGTATTTCAGACCTGGTCAAAGGACTTTTTGATCAGGAAAGAGCAAGAGAAGGACACTGAGTGTTCACATGAGGAAATGCCCTACAGCCCCTGGTAGCCTTCCCCAAAGCACTGCACGTGTCTGAGCTGCCTGTCTGCCAGATTCTGGACAGGCTGGTTAAGGTTGTGTATGTTTAGGTTTATCAGTTTTGCATTCAAAAAATGCTAAGGAGTAGCTGAGTGTGGGCTTGGACACTAGAAAACTTATTTCTTAAAATTTTGTGGGGTTTTCAAGTTTTATTCACCTGGGGTTCTTCTCAGGGTTTACACATACAGTCTGCACAGCGTGAAGCACAGGGCAGGTAAGTTGTTCAAAAGTTGGTTTTGGAACAATAGTTATCAGTTATCCAGGGAGCCTTTACAGTGTTTTCATTTAAAAGTTTGATGTAAAAGGTACATGATGATGAAGAACAAGAAATTTCATTGGTTTGACAGCCCTCTGTTATCCCACAGATGTAGGAAGCACCAAATCCTGTTCCTCAGATTCCAATTATAACAGGAATTCCAATTATAACAGGTTCCTGGGGGCTTTGATCTGTAACCCAGGTATTAATTCCCTCCCTCTTACAAAGGTTGAGAACAAGACTGAAGATGAGTATGAGCTGTTAGTCATTTGTAAGAGAGAATATTGCAGGCCTACCAGGTTTCTGACAAGTTGCCATATTGTTTAGGTGGGCAAGTTTTATGAGCTGAAAACAGTTCGTACTTTGGGCAGTAGAAATGTGTTTTGGATGAAATGAAAAGAAAAAGTGTTTTGATCACAGGCACAGACATTTTCAGTCCTTACAAAAACTGTTAGTGAAAGGAACCCTCAAAAGCCATCAGCTGACCTGGAGTAGGTCTGGATGACTTCTTGCAAAAGTCTGTAATTAAATCAGCTCAGAATCTGCCATGTGGCAGGGTAGGCTGCAGCTGCAGAGCTCAGGTGTAGCACACAAGTTGTGCCACGCTGTAATTAGGAGGCCAGGTTTCCCACGAATGCTTGTCTTAACAGGTGAGTGATGTTTGTCTGGGAAGATCATCTCCAACTGCATTATTTCCCCCCAATGGAGTTGTTTTTAAGTTCCTTCACAGTGTCAGTTCTCCATTGCTCAGTGAGAAGGGGACTCTCAGTGCCACCTTTCCTCACTGAAGCCACCCCCAGGTCTCTTTCCTGCAGCCACTTCTCTTCAAAAAGCAGTTGGAGCTTATCTCAGGGCTCTGTACCTTGCCCCCGACCGATTCTGTTGGAATTGACCGCCAGGTTCAAAAGTTCCTGGGAAAGTTAGGTGTAGTGTGAGCATGGCAAAACCTCCTTTCCTTGGGCAGCAGGCTGAGAGGTGCCTCTTTGGA